TTTTTTTTTCAACATACCTTATTTATTTATTTTTTTTCTGCCCCAATCTGTACCAACACTGATGTGTTTTCCAATCCGAATAAACTGAGCAGCAGTTTTTGATATGAACATAGTAGAAGGCAAGTGATAAAACAGCAATGACAAACCAATGTACCCTTCGGTTGCAGCTGACTTTTGTGGTGTTTGGCGGTTGTCTTTTGAATCTGTGGGTTTTGAGTCGTATACACAAAAATTACCTCATGGCTGTTATTTTTTCAGAAGTAATTTTGCAGGAAACGTAGTTACAGTTTGGAAAGCTTTAGAAATTTTCAAAAATAGAAGGTCACGTTTCTTTGTTTGTTTGCTCATTCCCTATCTCAACTGTTTTGATATAGATTAAGCAAAAATCTTTGCTACCAGTTAACGCTTGCTGAAAACTATGCTAATCAATTATATCCGTTTCTGAAAATTAACTCACAGATGCACAATAATTTTATTAGTGGTTGCATATACAACCGATGCTAAACGAACATCATTTAATTCAAAAGCTTTTAATACAGTACTGTTGTCAGATTCGAGAACCGGCGCAGTTTGGAGCATCCCACCTAGAACATTCGTTCTTTGCCGATGTCTCTAGCCATTTTCTGTGTGCGGAATTTTCGGGTTCATTTAACTCACTTGTCAAAATTTCTAAGGCATTTATGCAGCGTTCCCTCAATTTCTACCTAGATTGCTTGGATTTACTCAAGTAAAATTCCCTATTGTGTTAAACAGCAGTTAAAATAATTTCAGAATGAACAAGTTGGAAATTGGAGCATGAAAACTAGCACTTTGAAAAGCAATGGCGAAAAAAACACAAGTATGTGTAGTGCAGGCGATGGACGGGAGCGGGTTAAGCATAGGAAAAAAAGAGGAAAAATACATGGCTAAAAGTGAAACTGTGCTGATCATGTCAAATGGTTTCCACAAAAAGCTTTGGGGAATTGTATGTATAGATTTCCAGTACTGACCTTACACCAGGAACGAGAGGTTCTCGCGTTTCTGACTGCATATTCTAACGGTAATATCTAAAACATTAAACTAAAGGTAATTCTAGCAGCTCTGTTAAGAAAGAGTTTCAAAGCGCTGAAGGAATAAGTAAGGTATATGGACCATGAATTATCCCTTATGAAAGCAGCCGAAGAATAATATGGTCTTTTTCGGCTTGGAGGCGGAAACAGGAGCAACTCTAAAAATTGTTTATTTCTTGTTCATTAGGACTCTGTCAAAAAAATTAGAAATTTGCGTATCTTTAAAGCAGAATTTTGAATGACGCTGGGATTTTTTGAGCTCATACTTCTTTCCTGACTGAAGTATTGCCAAAAAATTTCTTTTTTAAAACACAGACACTAAAACGAACAAGTATTTCTGAATTGTTGGGTTTTTCGAAGGAAATGAAATTTTGTGTTTTTGACAAAGGACATCGTGAGGGAACGTATGAAAGCATAGCACTAAAAAGGCTATTCATTCGGTAAATTGCGATAAAGCTACATACCTCAGCAAAGTGTGGAAGAAAAAATCTATTTTCATACCGCTTGTTAAAAGAAGCAACAATTTATAATTCTGAAAAATGATGGTAGCTAACGTCAGAAATTCCTAGTTTAGGCTCAAATTTGGAACGTGGAACTTGAAATTATAAAGATTAAGTTAAAGTTCCGTACGTGCAATTAGATTTTATTTTGTGCTCCGGTGCGGTTCTTTTCTGATAGAATTATTATTTTTTTATTTGTAGTGAAGTTGACTTTGTCTTCCTTTTCTAAGTCAAGAAGTCCACTGGATACAATTGTCTTTCAGTTTCAAACATGATACGTTTGAAGCGAAGAAAGCGAAGTATTTTGCAACACACAAGAAAGTGGACGGTAGGTATTGGGCAATCAAAAATAAGACAGTGGATATTTGGTGTAGAAAACACATGTTTATAACAATTTTTTTTGAAAATTTCAAGGCGTTGCACTATTCCTCAGAAATTTTAAAGATATGTGTTCGCTGTAATCCGTTATTCATTTATTTTTATTCTCAATAATTTGTATAATTGAATTCTTCTCTTTGACCTGTAGAAAACAAATGCTTGGAGAAAAAACAGTCAGGAGCTAGTGTATTTCCCCTTCAAGCACTGGTGAACTGAGCAACAGTTGAAGTCATTCACGATCTTTAGCTTCAAACAATATAAGAACAATAGAACAGGAGGA